CCACCCCAATCCGTCCACATCTGCACAAGGCTATCCTCCTCAGATAACTCCAACGGAGAAGATTCCCGTCGAACAGTATAGGGAGCTACCGTCGCGACCGGTTTTTTCACAGAGGTGGAAGGCTTGGGATTATTCGTAAAGCTAGGGGGCAAATCCCTCTTTAATTGTGCACCACGCAGTTTGAACACGCGGGTTATAATTGTCGGCATCGGGAAACGCACGGCCAACACACGCCGTGTTCCGGAAGCTACGTCTAACGAGACTACGTACGAGTACGAAGGCATGGTCAAACACATAATGAATAACTTTCTTTCGGTAGCTTCGCGACAGGTAGAATAAAATATGCTGCGCCTGCAGAAGATAATAAAATAAAGAGAATTTCGCTCGTAGGTACCTCGCGCTAAGCGGAACGTTGACTTCAGCGACGCAACCCGAAACGGGCCTGCCGGTGAGAATAGAGAGATTTTCGCAGGAACCCGGACTGTACTATGAAGAAATAGGCGATTTAAATTTAATAGATTCAAGTTGGAAATTAGTGATTAAGCTAGAAGTATCGTCACTAGGCCAACGCCACGACCAAATAAAAAACTGGATCGAATTAGCGGAATCCGCGCAGAAAACAATTCATCCGACGCGAGAGGAAAGTAGCAAATTCGCGAACCTTTTGTCAATAATTAAAAAAGACGAGAATAAATTAGGCTTGTTAATAAATAGAATAAGTAGAATCTACGGGGACACAGCGGACAAAAGACGCGGTTTGATAAATGGCTTAGGCACAGTAGCGAAGTCATTGTTCGGTACCATGGATGACGACGATGAAAAACGAATTAACGAACAATTAGCATTAATACGAAATAACGAAAAACGATTACACATATTACGCAAAATCAACTGAAGGTACTAAATACCACGATAGCGCACATTGGTGACGTAGAGAAAACCATCGAACAAAATAATAAAAGATTATATAACTTTAAGTGGGTATATAACTAGAAGTGGGTATCGATCTTTGATTATTTTCGTATTGAGCATTCGGTAATCTACGCAAAGCCTATGCGACTCGTCCTTCTTTTTACTAGAACAATGGGGCTTGCGAAATCAGAAATAGAAGGTCGGACTATACCCTGCTTTTCCCACTCGTCAACTTGGGCGTTAACTATATCTCTTTCGGACTGCGATAACCGTCTCGCTTTTTGGTATATTGGTTCGTCGTCTTTTACAATAATCGTCATTTTTACATCGACTTCTTGTATTCTGTTTGGTCGGTAATTCTCAACCAGATTTGTTATAATATGTCTATGTTCGGCGCTTTGTACGTTCGATACGTCTGCCTCGCTCGCGTCCCGCAAATCAATCGCGAACACTTCCGGCCGCGTTTCGTCGTCAGCGGCCTGATCGCAAATCGGAAGTAATGGAAATCAGGTCCCGCCTCAAATTAACCTCTACTGTATCTAAAAAATCCGACGCCGATAAGTAGTCCATACTGTAAAACGGTATCCGGGACAACCCGAATAAGTATCGAATAAGAAAAGTCGTCGATCATAATTTCCATTTGAAATTCGCCAAAAGCCGACGCACGATAGCCGCCCACCCCGCAAAATTCCATCTCCGATGCGCGCAGTTTCGGCGACCCTACCTTCGCGTGTTCGCTGGCTCGCATTATCGATATGTCGCTTCCCGTATCTATTAACGCGGTGATAACTCGATCGCCCATTATTACATCCTTCGTATATTTCTTACGTTCTATTTGTGACACCGCTGCTACGACAGTTTTCTTTGGCTCACCATTTTTTTTAGGGCATTTCAATGCGATGTGTCCATTTTTACCACATTCGAAACACTTAGGGCCGAGACTTTTCGTCGGGCAATTCGCGCTAACATGGTCTCGGGCACCGCAGTTGAAACAGCGTTCAGCGCCTGGTGTTCCTCTCCTGCCGTCACCGCTTCCCCCACCGCTCCACTCTCCAGACCCGACAATCCGCTCACGCCGCTCACCCGGTCCGACGCCTCGCCCGTCCCGCCGATCCAGGCCGGTCACATTGCGATTTCGTAACGTTATTCTGCTGAACGCTCTCAAAAGTGCATCAGCTGATGGAAACTCCTGCATGCGTGCCTGGTCGCGCAGCGTTTCGTCCGGAATGCCGTCTATAATGTGCTCGAGTAATTCGTCCTTGTCCACTGGTACACGGTTGCCCATGATTGTCTTATCGTGAAGATATTCATGAAACGACTCTTCTTTTCTCCAGGCGCGGTCTTCAAATTTTTTCCGTATCGTTAGCTTACTTTCATAGCGCTCGAACATTGCTCTCAGCTTTTCTAGGATTGTCTCGAACGACATGCTTATGTGTTCCGGCCTCGAGTGGAACCATTCAAATGCTTTTTTCTTTAGCTTCATACCCATAAGGATTTTGGCACAATCGTCCTCCAATCGATAGGTCATCTTCACAAATCTTAATTGTCTTTTCCCATGTGCTGAAATCACTCGAAACGCCATCAAAATCGCTCAACAGGTCCCCATCATCGTGAGACTCACTCGTGGTTGCTCATGGAAAACTGCTACTCCTCTCGCGTCCGGGACAACCGCTGTCTCTGGGTTTCGCCTTTGTTCGCGAAGTATCGCGATCTCGCGTCGGGCTAGCTCAAGCTCGCGCTCTGCGAGTTCCTTTTCGCGCTTATAAAATTCGACCTCTCGCCGTCGCAATGCATTGTCTCTCCTTTCGATGTCGTTTTCTTCTTGTATCGGAGTAACATACAAGTAGTGCTACTACCAGCTTCGGCGGCTGGTATAACTGGTGGTTCCTTGAACTTCTCGGCTGCTGTTATCTGAGCCTGGTCAATATAAGCATCCTCGTCGTTTCCACCATGCTCCTGCTCCTCCGCCATCCACGCGCCAGCCGGATCGGCATCCATAAGACGCGTGATGAGTTCCGCCTTTGACCCCGCCATCGGTAATCCGCGCACTTTTAGCTTTTCTCTTAATTTCGCTACTGTAAGCACGTTAGGGTCAAACATGCTCTCGCGAAACGTATGTCGTCACCTTTCGTCGTCCTCGCTATCGTCGTCGTCGTCGTCGCAACCGTCGTTTGCCACACAACCGTCTCAAAATTCGCAACGTCACTCTCTCAAATACTCGCTCACACGATACACGTCTTCTAAATCCGTTTTATCCGATCCCGAATTTTTGACGAGCCCCCAAATGTAGTATAAAATAATATACATTCCGATCATCAAAAACACAGGCGGATATAGGATCGGAATTACAGAGTTCTCTCTATTATTCTCGCGTCGTGATGTATCGTTTTATCGCTCGAGGACGACTGACTGTCTTCGCAAAACCGTCAACATTCGAAGCCGAACAGCACGAGGCAAACGCGTGTACGAAAAACACAAATATTATCGCTGTAACGCTACCTTTGAATATTCGGAGCTGTCGAGCTGTGTCTTACAATTGTGTCGTTATATTCAACGTTATTTATTCCACAATATGCATATATGCATAACGCATCGTTTGTGCCGCTTGTGTAATTGATGTTTGTCGCGCATGTGTAATTGATAAGATGAATAAAATTAGAAATAAAGATTAGCATGTTATGAAGTATTCGGAAAAATGTTCTGATCAAAGAACAAAGTTCACTAAAGTTGTTGCCAAGGCATCTCCTCTATATTACACTTTTATAGTTATACTAGAACAATACAAGCGCGCGCTGCGCCCGTGCACTTATTATAATAATTTAATAATTATAAAATCTAAATATTTTAATAAAATTTTAAAATTTAATAACCATCAAAATAATCTTTGCTCTTAAACTATCAAACTGTCAGAATAATCGAGATAACCAATCAGCGTCGCGGATAAGCGTCAACAATACTTTTGATACATTCGAGTATCGATTTTTCATGCCTTTTTTAAGAGTGGATTATA